TTAGAAAATGGAACAAGATCTGTGGAACCTCACAATTCAAAACTCTAACATCGATGCTTACATATCAAGATTTCTGAGTTGTCTCACTTGTGTCCATGAATGATCACATCTGAAGGGAAGAAGATTGAAAGGTTTATTTGGGGATTGACCGTGCCAATCCAAGGGAATGTGATAGCAGCAAACCCAACCACATATAACAGTGCAACGAGACTAGCCAATAAACTATACGACCATGGCAACATATAGGGTGCCAAAGCAGGGGAGGCGGAAGTTAAAAAGGAAGGTGATAACAAGAAGGGTAAGAACAACAAGCAAAAGGGGCGACAAAACTCAGAGTCATCAAAGAAGCAACAAACAGTGACTGTCCATGCTGCTACTCAAGCTACCACAACACCACATGCTCCAGCCTCATCTAATCCAAATGCTCCCAAACAATACTCAGGAACCCCACTTAAGTGCAATAAATGCAATTTCCACAATCACGGAGAATGCATGGAGATGCTGTAAAGTCCCAAAATTCCAAACCAAAATTTTCGTTTTAATTAAGTTATTACATAAAACCATAAGTATAAAACATTCCTAATAATATCTCATGTCAAAACTAGTGTGTCAATAATCAATCATGTCGTCATAAAATAATATCAGAGTTTAATGCCAAACACCTTCCGTACAGAAAACATAGTGTGATGCCCTGTGATCAAGCCAACTCCTTTCCTTTGAAAATGAAGTACTTGAAACCATGTGTCGTTTCTGAAATGTGTCCATGTTTCACATGATACACATCCTTCAAAATCTTCCTATTATAGGATGATTGTATTTGGGAAAACATACAAAGATAAATAACAAATAGATTTGGGAAAACAGTTTAGCAATGATAACAAAGTAACCCCATCACCTTTCAAATTAAAAAAATTTGATGAATTGTTCTTTCATTTTAAAAATGGACAAAATGGGAAGAGTTACATGGAGACTGCATTGCTTGTGCTTGTGCTTGTGCTGCCCGAGTTGCTGATCCAAATATATATTCCATTCACTTTCAAAAGGGCAAAATACATGCAATCTTTAAAGGTAGAAGACTGCCTATTCAATGTAACAAAAAGGAAGTGCTTATAATTACCTCAAACATCATAACTAAGATGTACCTCTCTCTCTCTCTCTCTCTCTCTCTCTCTCTCTCTCTCCCTCTCTCTCTCTCAGAGATACACACACATTACATTGATTACAAACCAAACTTTTGGATCTTGTATCTAACAAAGCTTAAATTCTAAAAATGTATTTGAAACTGAAATAAACAAATCAAAGAAGATAACAATAAGAAATTTGGAATTAGTACCAGAAGTAAAGAAAGATAACAGATTATTACTTGGCGGGCAAGCAAGAAGAAGAATAAATATGGATACTTCAACAGCACATAGGTAGCAACAACCCGTCAAATGTAAAGCCATATCTCTGTATTTCAACGAATATGGTAAACTATAGAAAAATATGCCAAATTGGTATGACAACTCTTCATAATAAATCTACCACTATTATAAATCTGCATACCATCTGTCTCTTCTAAAAAATTCAATTAACAGATTTCAAAAAAGATATGCAAATTGACTTTTGTACTTGAAGCACCATCTCACATTAACTCAACATAAATGAAAGCGAAAATGAATAATTTATTTTACCAAATTAACAGTATGTAGGTATATTTTTGTCCAAAACTGTTAGAATAAATAAAAAAGAAATTAACAAATCAAGATTTTTAAGTATAAAAACAGTATGCAATGACATTTTGGCCCAAAACTGTTAAAATCGAGTTTTTTAACTATAAAAATAGTATGTAGGGGCAGTTTGGTCCAAAGCTGTTAAAATCAAAAGTTTTAACTCTAAAAATAGTATGCGAGGTAGTTTGTTCCAAAAATCTTATAATCAAAATTTTTAACTATAAAAACAATATGTAGGGGCAGTTTGATTCAAAACTTTTGGAATCAAAATTTTCTAACAATAAAAACAGTATGCAGGGGCAGTTTACAGATCTGTTTACCAAAAAAACTTTGCATTCAGGACCTGTTTACAGAACCCAATGTCACAAATTACTATATTGTGTCATATTTGAGTGTAGGAACTGTGTCTAAGGGTATTTTAGAATTAAATAATGAGAAAAGATGCAAATTACTAATGAATAGTGGTGTAGTAATGGTTGGTCTTGGATATTTCCATTCGTGGGTTCAATATATGAAGCATATCGATCTGATACAATCTCTGTAGCTTCTTTTTGAAGCATAAGGATACATTATAATGAAAGATTTTAATCCTACAATAATAATAAAAATGTTAGTAAACTGAATTTTTTTTATTAGAGTCAATTATAAATAATGGTAAAAAGTAATACCATCGTCAATTTTTAGCCTTTCTGCTCTTTCTCAACATACTTTCAAAAAGCCTGTAAAATATAATTATTAGTCAAATGTCTAAAACACCCTTCAGAAAGAATAATAATTTACTCATTAAAATAGTTGAGAAGATTAAGAAGATAATTTTCCTTTTAAAGAAAATGACATTAGAAAATAAATAAATTATACCAAAATTAAGTAGTATATTTGGTTTATCGATTAATTTAAACCTAAATTGTTCAAAAAAATGAGAAACATAATTGGATTTAATCAAAATGTCGAACCCTTTCATCTTCTTAAACAAAGGGTTATTATATATTGCAGTTATATAAAAACGGATAAATATAATTCGTAAAACCAAAAAAAGGTTACATTGCACAGGTTGTTTTTGGTTACAGGTTAAAGATAATATT